ATTTTATATCTGAATTGTGCTCTGGTAGGAATTCGCACCCAACATGCTAACAGTCAAGTTTTTTTTTTAACTCTATGGTTTTACACAGTTTTTATAACATGAAATTCACATATTTAACAATTAAATCTTCAAATTAATACAAATGTAGCAATAAAGTGAAAGTCAAAATGTGTTAAAATGTAGTTTTTTTTTACTATAATAGGATAGTCAATACCTGTGTTTTTTCAGTTTATCAATGTAAAGTAGTGGTTAAATTAAGCAAAATTACTAAATATTTCTTTCTTTACTCATATATTTTCTTAAAATTATACATTTTTTAAATGAGTATTAACAGTATTTGTTATGTATTTGACAGTTATATATAGCCATAACAAAAGTATTTTTTAGTAAAATTACAGAAAATGCAGCTAATTTTGCCAACAGAAAATCATTTATTTTTACGGTTAGTTTAGTTAAATTCGCATTTAAAAACTGCTAAAAAACAGATAAATAATGTATTCCATTTCTACAGTTTTTTTTTGTTAAAATACATGACACATTTCAATAAACCGTTTATTCCTGTAAATTGAATATGATTTTCTGTAATTATGAAATACAATAAAAAACTGTAATTTTTTTGGGGAAAAACTGTAAAAAAACATTTTTTTTTTACAGTGTATATATATATATATTAGGGCTGTCAGTCGATTAAAATATTTAATCGCGATTAATCGCACGATTGTCCATAGTTAATCGCGATTAATCGCAAATTAATCGCACATTTTTTATCTGTTCTAAATGTACCTTAGAGGGATATTTTTCAAGTTTTTAATACTCTTATCAACATATGAGTGGACAACTATGCTTTATATGTTTGTTTATTATCATTTGAACAATGACAAATATTCTCATGAATATTAAACACAACAACCTCTGAACATTACAAATATTCGCCTCAATTCAACCTAGAACCTCTCTCATACAATACTGTGTGTGTGTGTGTGTGTGTGTGTGTGTGTGTGTGTGTGTGTGTGTGTGTGTGTGTGTGAATGTGGAGGATCGTTGGAGCTATGTGCAGCTCAAGGCATATATGCCTGTGTGTATGAGCTGTGTTGCGGCACTATCCGTGCTGAGTGTGCTGTCTGGCTACCTGCATAAAGTCATGTGCTCGGCGCAGTTGTCGGCGAAATGTCGCTCCTCTGTTTTCATTGAAACAGCTCCTTATATCCGTTAGCTCAGCTAGCTAGCACCAGATGCTAACAACAACACGTAAGGTGTGCTTCGCTCGCGCCACACATACACACACCCTCCCGGTCCTCCCGATGGCCAGTCCGGGCCTGCCGGTGAGCGTGGAAGTGTGGTCTGCCACAAGCGGGCAGCAGGAGCGGGGCTGTCAGCATCAGCTTGTAGATGGTATTTTAAACTCGATGCGCTCTGAAACTACGGCGGCCGAGGACAAAAAATACACATGCGTTAATCGCGTTAAAATAATTAGTGGCGTTAATTTTTTTTTGCGTTAACGCGTTATTAACGCGTTAACTTGACAGCCCTAATATATATATATATATATAATAGGGAACAATCTTATGCACCGTTAACACTAGAGTACAAAAATACCTGCACAATTTAACTAAAGTGAGGTTTTGAATGCAGGATGTTTACTGGGCTATTTTCACACTGTGGTTTTAATATGTTTATTTCAATAACTTTGTTGAGCTTGTGTTAAGCTCTATTTCTATCTCACTGAACGTAGTCCCTGTGTGTGAACTGGTTCAGCTGATACAGCTGGTTATTATGAGTCAAGAGGAGGAGCTGCAGACAGGTGAGGGTGTTAAAGTCCAAATAAGAAGTTAGAGTGCCAGACACCATTTTACACCTGGACGGAGCAGGAGGACAACAGGGTGAGTGTTAACACCAGGCTCTGCTTTCTAACACATTATTTACTCTGTTTTACTGGATGTCAGAACATCAGCGTCCTAGAGTCCAAAGAGACTTCTACAAGTGGTGTAAACTTTTATTATTTCCTGTTTTCTGACTCATCAAAGCAACATATCATGTGACAGCCCAGCGCAGTCAAAATGGAGAGCGGCCTGTCTGAAGTCTGACTGATTTGATGACGTTTTTTAACCAAGTTTATTATTATGATGGTTTAGATTAAAACGTGTGTGTGTGTGTGTGTGTGTGTGTGTGTGTTTGTGTGTGTGTGTGTGTGTGTGTTGTTGGAGCAGAACACCTATTGTGGTGGCTGATAGCCACCCCCTCTGCTACGCGCCGTTCGTTGGATGAGGCTGAATCTCTATTAAATAAAGAAAGGAATTGAAAACACCGGAATCAAAAGTTATAACAATTATCTGAGTTTACTGGTAGGAAACCAAACACATATACAAGTTATACAGAGTACTCCGGACTTCAGGTTTGTGATGCGATGCGGATAAAGGTGTCGGGACCCGCCAACTCATCAAACAAGAAGAAATTGACTTCAGGTTTGTGATGCGATGCGGACACAGATATCGGGACCTGCCAACTCACCAAACAAGAAAGCAATTTACATTAAAAAACAACAGTATTCATAATCATATTTTGGGGCGGAGATGTGTTTACTTTTCCCTTCCCCTTTTACTCCAAAGCGAATTAGAGAGTCCGTGAGGAGGAGCTGTGTGAGCTGCTCACATCCCCCAGGTGTTTTTACTGGTTGGATTCACTTCTGGTCGGGTTCAATACAGCGAATCAGAGTTCTGACCAGAATGTGAGATTCTAAAGTTTCACAAGGTCAAAGTCCATTTTATCTCTGCCCCGATATTCACTCCCTTACTTTCCCATGGGAGTTTTTCAGATAAACTATTCTTTCTCATACAATTAAACCTTTGTGCACAAATATAATGATGTCCATAAGGACCTTGAAAAAGAACATGTGTGTGCGCTGGTGAAAAGGAGGTGTGTGTAAAACAGGATCTCTGGGTCAGTGAGTTGTAAGTGAGAATATCATTTCTATATATGTGATTACTTAAAACAGTTCAAACAATACATGTTCACTAAAATACAATTCAAAATAATACATGTTCACTTCAATACAGTGTAGAATCATATCTTTTTACTTCAGTGTGTGTGTGTGTGTATCCAGTGTTACTGGTTTATCTCTCAGACTGGAGAAGATGAGTGGTTTTAAAGATGAGGAAGAGGACACATCTTCAGTCTCCAGCTGTCTGTCTCTGAAGAGTGACTGGTCTAAAGACTTTCCTCCAAACTTCAGTAATGAACCTGGACCCTCAGACACAAAGTAAGAGTTTCTGCTGTAACCTGACCTGAAGAGGATCCAGTTTTTATGTTATCTGATCATCTAACCTGTTCTTTAATGATCGCAGTAAAGAAACTTAGTAACAGTACAGTAACAACGTTTAAACTCTTGATCCCTGGCGTCATCAGCGATAGTAAATAATCTACATACAGACAGAAGTCAAAATGTGCTCTCTGAATGAACTAATGATGTTTAAAACATGTGTTGTTTCCACAGACAGAGAGCAGAGTCTCCAGTCCCCAGCTGTCTGTCTCTGAAGAGTGACTGGTCTAGAGATCCACCTCCAGTCTTCAGTAATGAACCTGGACCCTCAGACACAAAGTAAGAGTTTCTGCTGTAACCTGACCTGAAGAGGATCCAGTTCTTATATAATCTAATATATTAAACTGTTCTTTAATAATATCATGTGTGCAGTATAGTACAGAACAAAGGCAGCGGAGTACAGCAAGCTAACATTATTTGAGGATATTTCAATATGCATTTATAGCATCATTGTATCAGTGGCATCAAAAGGTTTTAAATGGCAAAGATATTGAAAAATACTCACTAAAAACTAAATATATCGTCCAAAACATTATTTACTACTTGGGCATGTTTATGATATGTATTTTAAAGATGTTTATTAATAATAGTGATAACCTGGTGAGCTGGTTGTGTTTAGCATCAACAGATATAACAGAGCTTTGTGTGATTACATGTAGAGTCAATGCAAAGACCCAGATCCGTGCCTGGAGACACCAAGAAAGTGAAGAGGTGAAATTCATGTCACCTGCGTATTCGTCTCCGCCTCAGTTTACAGTCCACTGAAATCTACTCGTTGTTTCTCACACACACACACATATTACCCCTTTCCTTCCAAGTCTTCGCAAATTATACATAAATACAGATATTCACTTAAAGGTGGGGTAGGTAAGTTTGAGAAACCGGCTCGAGATCGCTAGAATTTGAAAATACACAACCGGAGAAAATCTGCCACTTCCTTATAGAGCCCCTCCTCCAACACACACGAACGCGCACATGACCAATGAGGGCACGAGATAAGTTTGTGCACAGATGGAAGGCTGACAGGCAGGTAGGCCATCCAGTTATTTTATCCGGGCCGGCTAAAATGATTGGTCGTGCTTTTTACAGTATTACAGCTTCCACAGATGACATTTTTTATGGATTTTTTGTCAAAGCACTTAAGATATTCATTGCTATCGGGATGTTAAGAGCATTCCATGTAATATAACAAAAAGTGTATCTCGAGCCGGTTTCTCAAAATTACCTGGGCATGTTTATGATATGTATTTTAAAGATGTTTATTAATGATAGTGATAACCTGGTGAGCTGGTTGTGTTTAGCATTAGCAGATATAACAGAGCTTTGTGTGATTACATGTAGAGTCAATGCAAAGACCCAGATCCGTGCCTGGAGACACCAAGAAAGTGAAGAGGTGAAATTCATGTCACCTGCGTATTCGTGCAGCGTGACACATTTCATCTTGAGAGTGACGTTTGTGACGCTCTGCCCATTGGTGAGAATCAGCTCCACTAATGTGACGTGCTGTAAAGGATGTGTTCATCTCCACAGAGGGAAGAGGAAGAGTGGTGTTCCTGTGGAGGAGCAGCTGTCCAGCTGTGCTCTGTGTCAGGACGTCCTGAAGGATCCAGTCTCTACCAGCTGTGGACACTGGTTCTGCAGACAGTGCATCACCTCATCCTGGGAGCAGAGACCTCCATCAGGAGACCCCTCCTGTCCCCAGTGTGGAGAAAGATCCAGCACCAGAGCTGGACTGCAGACAGCCAGTCAGACCAGCTCTGTACGAGGTAAGAGGCCGAACACATGCAGCGTCTTATTCCTCTTCCTGGTTCATTTGTGTTTGAATAGGTATACTGTTGTAGAGCATAGACAGTAAGCTGTTTATAAAACATTTAAACTCAGTCTGTTTGTTGTTGTTTTATTGTTATAATTAGATTCTCAGAGCATTTCCCTCATTCTCTCACGTTTCCTTCTCTTCCAGCAGATAGTGGTCTGCAGGAGGTTTTAGATGAACATAGGCTCAGTCTGAGGAGGAGATGTGAACGTGTGACTGAAGGAACTGATCAAAGTGAAACCCTCCTCAACAGGATCTTCACTGAGCTCTACATCACACAAGGCCAGAGTGAAGAGGTTAATACCCAACATGAGGTGAGGCAGCTGGAGACGGCTTCCAAGAAGAAGACCCTCCATGACACTCCAATCAAGTGCCAGGACATCTTCAAAGCCTTACCTGACCAACAGACTCACATCAGAGCGGTCCTGACCAACGGAGTCGCTGGAGTTGGAAAAACCTTCTCAGTGCAGAAGTTCACTCTGGACTGGGCCGAGGGTTTGGGAAACCAAGATGTCAGTCTGGTGATCCCGCTCTCCTTCAGGGAGCTGAACCTGATCAAAGGTGAGCAGTACAGTCTTCTCAGGCTGCTCCATGTTTTCCATCCAACCTTACAGAAGGTCACAGCAGAGCAGCTGGCTGTCTGCAAAGTGCTGCTCATCTTTGACGGCCTGGATGAAAGCAGACTTTCTCTGGACTTCAGAAACAATGAGGTTGTGTCTGATGTCTCACAGCAGTCCTCAGTCAACGTGCTGCTGACAAACCTCATCAGGGGGAAGCTGCTTCCCTCGGCTCTCGTCTGGATAACTTCCAGACCTGCAGCAGCCAATCAGATCCCTCCTGAGTGTGTGGACAGGGTAACAGAAGTACGAGGCTTCACTGACGCCCAGAAGGAGGAGTACTTCAGGAGGAGATTGAGTGATGTAGACCTGTCCAGCAGAATCATCTCTCACATCAAGAGCTCCAGGAGCCTCCACATCATGTGTCTGATCCCAGTCTTCTGCTGGATCACTGCTGCAGTTCTGGACCACATGTTGACTACAGACCAGAGAGGAGAGCTGCCCCAGACCCTCACTGACATGTACTCACACTTCCTGCTGGTCCAGACCAAGAGGAAGAAGCAGAAGTATGAAGAGGGACATGAGACGAGTCCACAGCAGCTGACGGAGGCTGACAGGGAGCTTCTTCTGAAGCTGGGGAGGCTGGCGTTTGAACATCTGGAGAAAGGAGACATCATGTTCTACCAAGAAGACCTGCAGCGCTGTGGTCTTGATGTCAACGAGGCCTTGGTGCACTCAGGAGTTTGTACAGAGATCTTCAAAAGAGAGAGAGTGATCTTTGAGAAAACAGTCTACTGCTTTGTTCATCTGAGCATTCAGGAGTTTCTGGCTGCAGTCTACATGTTGCACTGTTACACCAACAGAGACACAGAGGTACTGAAGGACTTCCTGAAGAGAGACTATAACAACAGCAGTGATCAGGATTACCCATCCCTGCCTGTCTTCCTGAAGGGAGCCATGGAGAAATCCCTCAGAAGTGAAAATGGCCACCTGGACCTGTTTGTCCGCTTTCTCCACGGCCTCTCTCTGGAGTCCAACCAGAGACTGTTAGGAGGCCTGCTGGGTCGCACAGACAACAGACCAGAAACCATCCAGAGAGCCATCAGCAACCTGAAGGGGATGAGCATTGATGAATTCTCTCCTGACAGGATGATCAACATCTTCCACTGTCTGACAGAGATGAAGGACCACTCAGTACATCAGGAGATCACAGAGTTCCTGAAGTCAGAGAACAGATCAAAGAAGGAACTCTCTGAGATCCACTGCTCTGCTCTGGCCTACATGCTGCAGATGTCAGAGGAGGTTCTGGATGAGTTGGACCTGGAGAAGTACAACACATCAGAGGAGGGACAACGGAGACTGCTTCCAGCTGTGAGGAACTGCAGGAAGTTCAAGTAAGTCCAGATGTGATTAACTTTATAAACTAATGTGGATCAGGAGTTTAATTATTCAAATAAACACTATAACATTTCTGCTGTTTAAATACTGAGAGAGCAAAATAAAACCAACACTGTTCTTCTATTTATTTATAATAATAGTTAAACTGAAGTGTTTCTCTCTTCATATTGAGTGATGGAGGCGACATGTCAAACACATGAAGGACTTTAGAGGTTTCTCAGCATGTGATCACACCACACAGCAGGACTTACAGTTATCACAGAAACATGTTATTATTACTTTCTAGTAGTTTCTTTATCATTAAACACGTTTTTATCACAATGTGTTAGAGTTTAAAATCAGATCTATATCATTTCCCACCAATAACAGAGTTATGTCTTAATGCTGATATACTGGGAACATCTGATGGTATCAAGTTGAACATATTGAAACTTTATCGGTTTTGTTAATTTTGTTTGTGTGCACAATAAATGTTCAGATGCTCAGATAAGCCAAAACATCCTTCATCCATCATTCACATCCACATATTAATTAACATTTAAATATGTACATCTCTAATATTGTCAAGTGATTCATTTAATTTCTGTTTCTTTTGGTAACAGTCAGTGACAGCAGGAGCACAGACATGTGATCAGATCACACTGACAACTCATTACACTCTATTATCATATATTATATTAAATGGACTAACAGCAAATGTCTATCAGAACATGTCAAATCTTTTTTCATCAAATGCTTGATGTTAAAATAATGTTTCCTCTTTTTTAACACATGTTGTAATATATGTTTTATTATAGACTTACTGGCTTAGGACTCTCTGGACTCTCAGAGGCTGAATGTGAAGTCGTGGCCTCAGCTCTGAAGTCTGACCCCTCCCATCTGAGAGATCTGGACCTGAGTGAGAGCACTCTGTATGATTCAGGAGTGGAGATGCTGAGTTCTGGACTAAAGAGTCCAAACTGCAGACTGGAGGCTCTCAGGTCAGTTCACTGACTGCAGTTCATATTGATCTGTTTGTGTTTATGATTTTCTGAATTTGAACAAATACAATGTTATTTTTATTTTTTTCCATTTTTGCTAATGACTGAATATTGATCAGAGTAACAGAGAGAAGGTGAATGTGTGAGGGAGAGTGTTTGAGCTTCCACAGACTCACTCTGTGCTCCATGAGTCAGTGGAGATGCTGTCAGTACTGATGAGCTGTGAGGGAGATGAAGGAGTTGTTCAACATCTGATCAAAGTTAAAGTTCCAGATTATCAGTGGATTGTTTCTGCATCATCTCTGACATTAAAACCCTGTTTCACTCTGAACAGATGATTAAACCTGGAGTTATTTCAAACAGGAACATAGTTTTCTAAAGTTACATCATGTTTTCTTTATTCAGACTGAGGCGCTGCAGTTTGACAGAGATCAGCTGTTCTGATCTGATCTCAGCTCTGAAGTCCAACATCCATCTGAGAGATCTGGACCTGAGTCACAACTACGATCTGCAGGATTCAGGAGTGGAGCTGAGAGATCTTCTGGAGAGTCCAGACTGCAGACTGGAGACTCTCAGGTCAGTTCACTGACTCTCTGTTACTGCTGGAGATCTCACATGTTCACTTTGGAATTTAACCTCATTTATATTCATTAATAATTTACATCCATAAAGTTGTAAATGTCCTTTTATTCATATTTCATTTTTAACCTGTTTCACACCATCCCCTCGGTACCGGGCGGATAAACGCGTCATTTGCAGGAAACAACGTCTAAGGAATCTTAATATTGAATAAAACTATGAATGTGTTATATCCATGTAACGGGAAGAAACTCAGCTAACTGATCTTTTTAATTTTTTTTTTTAAAAAAAACCCCACAATGCTAGCACTCAGCCTCTGAATTAGCCTCGATCAAAAAAACGGAACCTACAAAGGCACTTAAATTCACTCATAACTCCCTTATTACTTATCCTAGATGCACAGCCAACCACTCGTTTTTGGTGTCCTGGAGACACTGAATCTGTGTAAAAAACCTCAACACTCAGTGATAAACATTCGCGACGCTATAAACGAAAGCGTACATCATCACATGTGGAGCTAAGTAGCTAAAAAACATAAATATGGCTTACCTTGGTCAAAAGTGGTCTTCAATGGCATTAAAACGATAAAAAAACGATGCTGCAGTTAATCCATAGGTTCATCCTATGTGTCTGTGCCTTCTTTGAAATTATTTCTGATAATCCATAAGCAATACAACTGCGTTTTAGTTTCCAAACTCCAGAAGGAGACATTCCTCCACTTTGCTTTCGTTTCCCACACGCGAAGCCCCCACATTTTTTCTTTACAACGTGTGTGGGTGTGTGCCTCCCCCTTCGATTCTATTGGCTCTAACGGTCACAAGGGTATGTCAACCAACCAAATCGACCAAGGGGGGCCAGAGATAGGTCAAATCCACCCAAATGACCCCAAAAGTGGGGGTTTTTGGCTAAATCTCTCTAAAAAGGTCAAATTTCACTTGTTTTGCATCAATCTTGATACAGGGTACTTATTATATGTTGTACTTTGGATTCCTAAAGCTTTTAGTCTACTAACCCATCATCCAAGGGTAGTTTTCACTATCTGTAAAAAATAATTTTTGGACGGACACTATAATTTACAGTTTTTTACTATGTAAAATCTGAATTTTCTTTAAAATAAAAAACATTTATATTGATTCTGACACTTCTACATCCAACTCACAGGTTTATCATTACTTTGCGAACAAAGATTATTAATTTAACCCTTTTAGAAGGGAAGATATGGTCATTTGTTCTGGGAATGTCATTTTCGAGCCTGAGACCTGAAAAACAGGCTCAGAGTGGAACAGGTTAAGAGTAAGAAGAAAGAACTGAAGACATACATGTTGAGTGTTTCTTAAAGTAACTGTAATAGATGTTAGTTGTAAAAAGTAAATCCATGTTTTTAATATTTAGTAAACGATAACGTCTGAATAAAGGTCATCTGAAGTCATTTTAGTTTTACAGGATAAAGTTAACTTTCTGAAGAAGACAGATTTTTCTGTTCCCATTCATTTAAATGTTGAGTAACATCTGATTGGATTATAAACAGATTTTTATCCTCATCATGTTTTCTTTATTCAGTCTGAGGTACTGCAGGTTGTCAGAGATCAGCTGTTCTGCTCTGGCCTCAGCTCTGAAGTCCAACATCCATCTGAGAGAGCTGGACCTGAGTCTCAACGCTCTGCAGGATTCAGGAGAGAAGCTGCTGAGAGATCTTCTGGAGAGTCCAGACTGCAGACTGGAGACCCTCAGGTCAGTAAGGGGTCTCTGCTGGTTCAGCAGTATTGTATGAAACACAGGGAGGTGTTTCTCTCACTGGGGAATCACAACAGATCAGTGATGTTACCCACTGACTGCAGGCTCTTTCATTCTTCCATCAACTATAGAAGGCCAGCTGAAAATGCAAAGCCACATTTAGTAAGTAATCAACTTTCCACCAGACATATGGGATTTGACAGAAGAGTGGAAAAGGTAGTGTGTTTTTGATGGGATGTTTTTAGCTCCTTGACTAATGACTGTTACTTCCTGTAATGCAGCTGAGAGCTGTGGCAGTCAGTCGTAGTGTTTGCAGAGAAGATATGATGGGATGTAAAGCATGAGATCAGTCAGGACTCTGAAGCTGACTCAAAGAACAAACACTTATTTTAAACTGGATCCATAACTGTTGGATTGTGTTCATCCCTACAGGATCAGAGAGGATGAGACGATCAGAGCCAAGATCCAGAAGAACTGTGAGTACTGAATATCCTCCATTCATCAAGATATGAAACTCTTTCATGGAGCATGTCCTCAGAGGAAAACAACACTCTTGTTTTTCTCTCTTCATGATTTTGTCTGTTTCTCTTCACAAGAACTGTCTATCAAAACAGTGACGCGTTCACTGACACTCTGTAAAATGTAAATAAACTCTGAAGAATAAAACACATGAAAACATCAACATTATAACCAGTCCGTTACAGTATTACCATCAAAATATAGTTGAGTAGAAGTACTCAGATCTTGTACTTGAGTAAAAGTAGATGTACTCAGATCTTGTACTTGAGTAACAGTAGAAGTACTCAGATATTGTACTCTAGTAAAAGTAGAAGCACCAGAGTGTAGGAATACTCTGTTACAGTAAAAGTCCTGCATTCAAAATGTTCCTCAAGTGAAAGTAGAAAAGTATTCTCATCAAAATATAGTTAAAGTAGCGACAGTAAAAGTAGTCATTGTGCAGATTGGTCCATTTCAGAATAACCACACATGCTCACTGTCTGTGGAGGCTATTGCACCAATGTCTCCAAATCATGGAAGAGAACCGAGTAGAACTCTTCACAGGGTTCATTAGAGTCGAGATAACATGATTGTCAGAGTCTTCTAGGCCAGGGGTTCCCAACCCCCGGTCCGCAGACCGGTACCGGGCCGCGGAGGTGTTACTGCCGGGCCGCGAAATAGCTGTGAGTTTATCGTAATATTTGCAGAATTATAAATATATAAAAATATTTTATCATAATATTTTTTTCAAAAAGTGTTTAATTTTCGCACATATGCCACCAGTCATATTATTTCATCCAGTAGCTAGTTAATCTTTCACCAGAAAACCGTTGAAAATGGCTTTTATGATGTTCCGAGGGATTCGGCGGCTCAGCCTAGGTCTCAGCCTCTTGTGCGCACGAGCATGTTACCGGTGCGCCAAATAGGAAGAGGAGCGCACAGGAGACAACCGTTTGATTGCAGACTGTTATGTTTATGTGGGGAAATGGTGGTGCATACATTATTTGAGATATATTTCAAACTCGGACTTCATTTTAAGGACATGTCGGCCAGGGGTGTAGAGCTATTTGTTTAAGCACCGGATTGGCAAAACAGGAGAGTAAACCAGTCTGCCTTGATCTATGAATTAATGTCCGGGACTCTCACGGTATCTGCTGCCCGCAGCTGTTTTATAGAAGGAAACTGTTAAGCATATTTGTATATGAACAAAGTCATGTTTCAGTTCATGTGTATGACGTCATCAGAATGTGCCTGAGTGAAAGAAACGTGGTCATGCTAATGAGCATGCGCAGATTCAATAAATGGCCCGTACTCCAGGCCAAACTCTGAGCGATGTGGTCGTGTGTGTTTTCTGTCCGTAGCATACTTACAAACTACTTTGGTTGACTGCAAACGTGGAGACTTCTGCTGAATATAATGTCTCACGCAACACAGAACCTGTCTCTGATTGGCTGAAACACCAAACAGTTCATTGCAGCATTACCCATAATCCCCTCTGTTTCAGCCCTGTTTCAAAAGTGCTGATTCTCTGTCTGTTACTTTAGATGAAAATAAGGAGCCCCTCCCCACGCCCCTCTGAGAGAGATTTGGTTACAAAGAACACAATGGTGCTCTAGGAGGAGATTCAGGTGATAAGGGGGGGGGGGGGGGGGTTACCTTGGTTGCTGATTGGCTAATGGTTACACAAGACAAAACATCGTTAGAATCTCTTTACACAGAGGGGACACATGTTGATGTAGAAGAGACATGAAGAAGAGGGGACACATGTTGATGTAGAAGAGACATGAAGAAGTGGATTTTGCATAATAGAGGACCTTTTAAAATGTGTGTTTCTGTTTTGTTCAATAAGAAAATACAACATGTTATATTGTAAGCTAAGAGAAAATAAGTTATAATAATAAGATATCTGTTAGCAGTCATTTCATTCTGCAAAGCACATTTAAAGTTCAGACAGAAGGGAAAACAGAAGTTTGATGGGTTTGTTTTGTAATTATCTGTCAGATAAATTAAATAAACCCTGTTTTTATTAATCATTTCTTATTGTTGTGTATTTATTTATTTGTAATCTTTACGTTGGATTACATCAAGATGCACCTTCATTAGATCCACGAGGAGAAAATCCAGTTATTGCAACCGGATGGAGAAAAACGCAGGTGAAGTAAAATAAAATAAGGTAAATATAGAATAAAAATCCAAATTATGGAAGAGTATTTAGAGGTTAAACAAGTTTACGTAAATATAGTAAATTATGATATATTGTGGGGTATAAGACATAGTTGAGGCTTGGTTGTGTTATAATATAGTAGTATATATATATCAATATATATTATAGCAGAGGTGGGAAGTAAAGTACATTTACTCAAGTACTGTGCCATCGTTAGCATTACAGATCGCCTACCAGCAGGGTAAGGCTACATAAAGGGTTACACTAGCAATGCTAATTAATGCTAACTGCTAGCTAGCTGGTGAATCTGATAACATTTCAATATTGTCCTCTTGCTGGAGCTTGACTCACTTTTTATTTGGATCATTCCAGAATTTGAGGACATTTAGACATCAAAACATTTGATTAAATTAAGCCTTTTTTTGTTTTCTGTGTATTCAGTATATTTGAGAAATATGAAGCCTTCAAAAAATGGATCAGTCCAGCTCAGACATCAATGGTTCTCTTTGTATCTGATGTTTCATTTGTTGCTTTTAACAGCGCTCAATGGTGGGTTTAAATCACTAGATATCAATTAAAAAAAGGTCTATTACCCTCTTGATCTAACTGTGGGGGAAACGTCTGTAGCAATGGAGGAGTCAGGACTCAAAGGAGACACGAGGAGAGCTGGAGCTTTGATGGCAAACACTGACGGTCTATTTGGATTTCGGCAGGAGAATTCACAAGACATGTCACGGGCCACGGTTTGACCACACGGTTGAGACGCCACAATCAATTCTGAAGAACTCTACCCCAGACCCGTGTATTTAGCTAGTTCAGAGAGAATAATCAACATTGTGGATAACAAGATAGAATCATAACACCTCTATCAGCTGACGCCAACAGGCAGGAACAGGGAGGCAAAACACTGAGCGCACAGCAGCCAAGGTTACAGGTGCCTGCGCTCAGTCAGGACAGTATGAACTGATAAACTGGGTCAAAGCTATGGGCCTTGGAAAATATTTCCCCAACACTAACTATAATTTTAACTCAGTTGTGTTTGTCTTAAGTTAATTGTGAAGAGTAAATGTTAATGTGGTTGTAACCTCAACATGCAGAGGCACACATTCTGTATTCTGGGAAAATACAGTAATATATGCAATCAATGCAGCAGGGTTATTAATCCAGAAACATATATATATATATATATTAGGGCTGTCAGTCGATTAAAATATTTAATCGCGATTAATCGCATGATTGTCCATAGTTAATCGCGATTAATCGCAAATTAATCTCACATTTTTTATCTGTTCTAAATGTACCTTAGAGGGATATTTTTCAAGTTTTTAATACTCTTATCAACATATGAGTGCACAAATATGCTTTATATGTTTGTTTATTATCATTTGAACAATGACAAATATTCTCATGAATATTAAACAAAACAACCTCTGAACATTACAAATATTCGCCTCAATTCAACCTGGAACCTCTCTCATACAATAATACAATACAAAG